CCGGTTTAGGCCCAATACCACAGTCGGACGTCCCTCTCACCATCCGGACTGCTGGCTCCCAACCACTTGACTGCCTGCCTGCCTGATTGCCCCTAACCACTTCGGCCTGCCAGACTGACCACCCCCTAACCACTCCCCTGCTGGCCCAATCGCCCCCAACTGCCCTCCCATGCAGACCTGGTACTTCCCAACTGCCCTCCCATGCAGGCCTGGTCACCTCTAACTGCCCTCCTCTGCAGGCCATCTGTGGCGGCCATCTTGTGACCACATGGGGGCGGCCAACGTGTGCGAGGGTGTGATGGTCAATTTGCATATTACTGCTTTATTATATAAGATTACATAATATAGAAGTACTCTATAATAGTTCTTCAAAGGAAAAAAATCTGGAAAGGAAGCAGACTTTTGACATACTCTACATCATCTAAGTAGTATCAAAAGTACACTTAAGAAACAAAGCCATATTCCACACAAATATGAAATTCTACCTGAAATAGAAAAGAATTAAAATATTTTTACAGCCCTGACTGGTTTGGCTCAGTGGATAGAGCATTGGCCTGCGGACTAAAGGGTCCCGGGTTCGATTCCAGTCAAGGGCATGTACCTTGGTTGTGGGCACATCCCCAGTGGGGGATGCAGGAGGCAGCTGATTGATGTTTCTCTCTCATTGATGTTTCTAACTCTCTATCCCTCTCCCTTCCTCTCTGTAAAAACTCAATAAAATATATTTAAAAAAATTTTTTTACAAAAATCTCTAATTATTTAAAGTAGTTACTTTGTACAAGTACAGGATACAGAACCTTTAAGCCATGTTTCAATGAACTGCATTCAAAGCTGCACTTAAAAGCATAGCATATCATTTGATAGACTTAAAGATAACTTTTTCCCATTTATTAATTTTATGTTTTCCTGCCAGTAATTTTATTTTCGTCTATTACAAAGTAAACATTACAATTTTTCAAAAATTTAAATATTTAATTAAAGATCTTTAGCTTTCCCCTAAAAATAAGTCTGTATCTATTTAGCAAATGCTTTCAACATCTTAGTTTAAATGTGCTCATCCAAAATTAACTGGTTAAAAAAACATGGACTTCCAATTTTTAGAAACTAATCAAAGTATGCCCTGCCTGGGTGGCTTGGTTGGTTGGAACATCATCCCATCACCAAAAGGTTGCAGGTTCCATTCCCGGTCAGGGCATATACCTAGGTTGAAGGTTCAATCCCCGGTTGGGATGTGTACAGGAAGCAACCGAAGAATGTTTCTCTCTCTCTCTAATAAATAAACATATATTCGGGTGAGGATTAATTTAAAAAACTAATCAAAGTATGTATGTATGTGTGTATATATAATGTGATTATATGTATACATATAAACAAAGTCATACACACAAGCACACATACATATATGTTTGCAGTTTTCTTTGAAGCCTCTTGAAGCAAAGGTTATTAAATCAAGAAATGTTAGCAGTATGTGTAAAAATACTGGCTCTTAAAACATTTATTTTGGACAGTTAGAGGTGTTCTTAGAACTGAGGTACCAAAGGTAACATTTTATAAAGGATCAAAAATATGACTAGAATTTGGGTAAGATATTTCCCAAACTTTAATTTCAATTCCTCAAACTCTGTGATGTTGAAGAATGTCACTTACAAGTTGCTACTAATGAAACACAACCTACTACCTGGGGCTAATATTATTAGCAGGTAAGAAACACAAACACAGTGCAAAAAATCTAAAATGTAAAAAAGAAGATCCACTTCCATCTCTTCAATCTCACTTTGGAGAAAAGTTCTGCCCAAAATCTGGTTAAGCATTCTCTCCAAGAGATCCAAGGTATCTACAGACTACAGTATCCTAAAGAGAATGGAAGTCATCTACTTTGGGGGTTTTGACTTCTTCTAAGACAGGGGTGGGCAAACTTTTTGACTCGAGGGCCACAATGAGTTCTTAAACTGGACCGGAGGGCCGGAACAAAAGCATGGATGGAGTGTTCGTGTGAACTAATATAAATTCAAAGTAAACATCATTACATAAAAGTGTACGGTCTTTTTTTTTTTAGTTTTATTCATTTCAAACGGGCCGTAGTTTGCCCACGGCTGTTCTAAGATGAGCCTGAAGAAAGGCCCCAAACCTTAGAGTGGCCCAAGAATAAGTTCTCATCTCTAGGTTTGTCTTAAAAATTTCTCAAGGTCGCCAAAACCGGTTTGGCTCAGTGGATAGAGCGTCGGACTGCAGACTGAAAGGTCCCAGGTTCGATTCCGGTAAAGGGCATGTACCTGGGTTGCGGGCACATCCCCAGTAGGAGATGTGCAGGAGGCAGCTGATCGATGTTTCTCTCTCATCGATGTTTCTAACTCTATCTCTCTCCCTTCCTCTCTGTAAAAAATCAATAAAATATATTAAAAAAAATTTCTCAAGGTCTTCTGTACCAAGTATAGGTAAAATTTAGGATAAATTTTACTACAAAACACACAGTTGGTGTTCAATTTAGCTCTTACAGAGAGAAATAGAAGCAAAACATAAATCAACAATTCCGCTGTCTTAAAGAACAGATTTACAAAGTATTACACATATGAAGAACATGAAAAAAATGTATCCTTTCAAAAAGGAATTTTAATTATTTTATCCTTTTCTATTTTAAGAGAGATCACATGTATAACTTGAAGATGTATAAGGCAAGGCCGATAAGTGCCGCATCTGAAATGACAGCAGATTCCACAGAACAAGGACAATTCAAAGGAGCTAGTTTGTCACCAGTCATATAACAGGTAAGGATAAGTTGGTCTCTGAGAGTTAAAATTTGCCCTTAGTGCCTAGAAGAGAAATTAGGTAGTGGAGGGATGGGGGTGGGAGGAGAAGCTGAAGAGCACTGTGGTAGGAAGAATTCTAGTACAACCAGCCACAACCCCCTGGTGGACCCACCTTCTCCCAGTCACTCAAACACTAATCTAGGTGCTACTGTGAAGGGCTTTTTCAAATATAATTAAGGTCCTGAATCAGTTGACTTGGAGGTGGAGAGATTTCCCTTTGGGGGGCGGGGGAGAAACAGGGACTAACCTGACCAGGTGAGACTTTAAAACAGGTGGCTTTTCCTGGCAATGGAAATTTAAACCATGAGAGGTATAAGATATGGATTTTCCCCACTGCTTTCTTTGAAGATGGGAAGGGGATACATGGGTGGTCTCAAGGAGCTGAGAGTGGCTCCCAGCTGACCCAGTAAATAAATTCAGTCCCTAGACCTTCAATCACACAACCATGTGCATTTAGAAGAAGAGTACCAGCTCCTGACGAGAATGTACTAGTAGTCCAGCCAACACCTAGTTTTTGGCCTGTAGTGATTCCCTGAGCAGACAGCTCCGTCATGCCATGCCCAGATTTTGACCTACCTACAGACACCCTAATACATGGGTGGTGTGGGAAGCTGCTAAATTTGAGGTGACTCGTTATACAGCAAGAGAACTAACACAAGCACCAACCGGGCTGAGTCATACAACTTTAGAGGAACCCAGAGAAACTTATTTAGAACTTAATGTCCTACTTCAAAAAATATATCTAACACTGAGGACATACAATATTAAGGAACCAAAGAAAACCGCTATTAGATTAGGCATTACAGAGAAGAAAACCCAATAAATTTTAGAACTCATCAGCCATGAAGTCACCGGGAGACAAGTATAAAAACATAATGTAGTCTTAACAGGAAAACAATGATTTTTCTGGATTTAGTGCCTTTATTTGTGAAATCAAAAGGTAGGACTAGGTCATCTTTATGGGCTCTTTCAACACTTTCTATAACCCTTGGTCACATACAGTCCTACCTTTTTATAGGCATCAGAGAAGGCTGGGCACTGACCCAGATCCCACAAATGCTCAGAACTCACCTGGCTTCTTATAAAACACTGCATCAGAAAAAGAATGACTTATTCAGGTCTAAAGCTTTCTTACCTGTAGCGACTAAAGGGTCTTTGTCACATAGCAAAATACCTAAGTAAACGAAAGCAAGGCTTTCTTTCCACATAAAAGCTCCTTTTATATCTTCAAAAGGATCATTTTTTAAACCTCATTTTTATAACTGAAAGTCTGTGTACACATGCACAGGATGGGAGGAGCTCATAAAGTCATGTTAACAAAAAAGGAGAAATTGGTTCAAGCTCTAGGAGTAAATTATTACCCTCAATTTAAATCCTTGTTGAAAAAATTATACATTTAGTATACGTTAGTCACTTAAAATTTAGTTGGCTCTACATTAAACTATGGCCTGAAGGGGAGGGATAGCAATAGCTTGAAAGGGTTAATTTTACACCTATATAGCTTATTTAACACTACAGGCTAAGCAATGGATTTATTACAGAAGTAAAATCCATTGTCATTTTTATTCTAATTATTTTGAAATCAGTGGTTAGGCCAGGACTTCAGGAAAGTTGTTATTAGTAACTTGAGTCTAGTACTAAATAGCCAGAAATTAATCTTAATATGACTGGAAATGTTAAAAACTTCTCAAAAACCATCAGACGAAATAAACAAGAGAATCACAGAACTTTAATTCCCTAGGGAAATATACTAAAAGTTTGCTGTAACCATGGGATAGGGGAAATTCAAAGGGTTTCATTAATACAAAAACCATAAACAATAATAACATAAACTTTTCTCTGTTCTCTTCATTTCCTTTAGTTTAAAAGCTTTCAGCCAACTGGTATCATGTTGACCTACAAACCAGGTGGAGGTTCCATCCCTGATCACGGCACATGCCCAGGTTGCGGGAATGGATCCCCAGTGGGGAGCATGCAGGAGGCAGCTGATCAATGATTCTCTCTCATCACTGATGTTTTTATCTCTCTCTCCTCTCTCTTGCTCTCTGAAATCAATTTTTTAAATATTTTTTAAAAAGCTTTCAGTATTCTCTAAATGAAAAACCGACTAGGAAGTAATTTGACATAAAAAAAACAACCAATCAAATGATCCAGTTCTTGAATTTACAACACTCACACAGCCTTCTTTCTTACCTTGTCTATTCTATCTGGGCGGTTAGTAGCTGCCAAAACAGTCACATCCTTTAACTGTTCAATGCCATCCATTTCAGTAAGGAGCTGAGCCAAAACACGGTCAGCTACATTCCCAGCACCTGAAGAACTGACATTTAAAAACAGTTTTAAAAATCTGTTTACCGATCTCCAAATACTCCATTATTTTAAAAATATTGTATATCCTCTAACAAAAAAAAAGTTTCAAAATATAAAATGCATACTTTAGAATTCATTACTTATTGAATTATCATATCCCAAAACTAACTCTATTCAAATCATTTCTTTTCCTCCATCATCAACCGTGTTCTTTTTCTCTCCAATAATGACATGCTACACAACTGTCAAATATAAAAGATTTGGGAAGAAAGATTTGCTTATTTAAAAATAAGTGGATAGGGGACATCTGTAATACTTTCAACAATAAAGATAATTTTTTTTAAAAAAAGAGAAAGAAGTGGATATATATGAGAAATATTAAGGCAACACAATCAATAAGGCTGGTAAACGAAAGTCTCCATGGAGTCACTGGGGGAAAAGAACTTTAACTGTAAACATGTTGGGTTTGCAGTGCCTGTGGGACATCTTGAGAGTTAGACATAAAAGAAAGCAGTCTGATGTAGAAATATATCTCTTGAAGTCTTGCCATAGAGATGGTACCTGGAAAGATGGAAGTAGAAAAGATCACCCAGGAAGTATATGGTGATGAAAAATAAATGAATAACAGCCCTAGTCAGTTTGGCTCAGTGGATAGAGCGTTGGACTGCAAACTGAAAGGTCCCAGGTTCGATTCTGGTCAAGGGAACATGCCCAGGTTGCGGGCTCGATCCCCAGTAGGGGGATTGGAGGAGGCAACTGATCCATGATTCTCTCTCATCGATGCTTCTATCTCAAATGTTTTAAATCAATTTAAAAAATAAATAAATTAATACATTAATAACGAACAGAATACTAACACCAGTATTTTAGAAGGGATGTGTATTAGTTAGCTCAGGCTGCCATAACAAACCACAGACTAGAGGCTTAAACAACAGATATTCATTTTCTCATGGTTTTGGAGGCTGGAAGTCCAAGATCAGTGTGCCAGAATGGTTCTGGTGAGGGCTCTCTTCCTGGCTTATAGATGGCCGCCTTCTTGCTGTGTCCTCCCA